TTTTATATAATATAAAAATTTTGAAAATTCTTTTGCAATATTTTAAAATATTATATATAATACAAAAATTTTAAAAATTTTTCAAAAGATTTTATATAGTACAAAAATTTCAAAATATATTTTACAATATTTTAAAATTATTGCATTGTGCAAAATTTTTTAAAATATTTTACATCTATAATTTTGCTAATATAGTACAAAATATAAAAGAACAGATACTGAACAAGCTATTAAAAAAGTATATATATATAGTATTTGTAGTAATGCTGACTATAACTTAAAAAGCTGCCCAAAGAAATAACAATTACATATATTAAAATTTAAAAATAATGATAATAAAATGTATACAAATACTGACTTATTGTTTGTTAATATATTATATTAATTTAAATATACATTAGTTTAAATAATTTAAATTAATATAACACTAATTGTATAAATGAATTGTAAGTAGATAAAAATATAAAAAATGTATTATTTTTTGTAATTAATCAAATAAATGTTATTACAATATTTATTCAGTAAAATAGTATTATTAAATACAGATTTATTCCCAATTTATAACATTTTATATACTTTAAATGATGAAACCATTTTTTTAAATCTTTATTTTCTTTCTATTCAAAATATCTAATTTTCAAAAAACAACTTAGATATTACAAATCTTTTTTTTTGAACCAACTTACTATTTATAATAATTTATATTTATTATACTGTCAATATATTTTATCTAGACTTAACAAACTTCACAAAGATGTTATATCACAATAGTTTACTACTCTTAAGCATATTACTACAAGTCATTTTTATTAACATATTCTATATAATTATTATAACTTATCTTCTAGCAACTATTTTTGTTATTTTACTAATTATTTCTTCTCTAATATCAAACTTTAGCTGCTTACTGTCTTCAATAATTAAATAATTATCAGTAAGACCAAAAGACATAATACTCCTATTAGTTTTACTTTTATTACTTACTGACACTGTTCATTTCAGTCTCAGTTTTTTAATTTTTATCTTATTTCTTCTTTTACTACTATATTATATACTAAATATCATTTTAATTTAAATATAATTGCCAACAAATGCATTATCTTTATATTTACTAATCTAGATACTAAACTATTTTGTTATATCAATTTTGACAAACTCTTAACTTTTATGCAAACTTTTTTGATATTGCATACTTTGTTGCTTTTTAATATTCTTTATATATTTTAACTTAATAATCATTTTATAACAATTATCTTCTATTTTTGAATTATTACAATTTTTTAATAATCTTCAGACTATTGCTAATTTAAACTATAACTTATCATCTATTTTATTCTATACTAATAGTTCTGTTATTAATCTTGGTATCTTCCAATGCTCTATAAGCATAGGTTGAATTTCAAGTTGATAATTCTATAATAATTAACTCATTTTAGACACAAATTAAACTTTGGCTATATTCTTTAAAGTAGAAATTCTTGATATTTTTTCAGCAATTATTACTGCTTCTTAATACTATTCTGTTTATATTTTTACTAAATTACAATTAGTAATCTCTAAATATTATAATATTTACCAATTAGCATCTACTTTTTCTGATATTTATACTTCATATTTCTCTATTTAGTAAACTCTTATTAACTTAATTTCTATAATATTTAGCTCACTTTTTACAAAGTTATTGCATACCAAAATAATTCATTTAATAAGCTTGCTAACCAACTTATTTACAATTACCAAATATTAACTTACTTAATATTCTTAACCAATAATCTTTATAATCTTGCTTATATACTATTTATTAACCAATTTTCTGTTGAAATTTTTATTCAATACTTTATTTGAACTATATATAAAGCTTGTATTATAATACTTTGAACATTTCAATATTACTTTTAACAATAGTTTATTATTGCATCTAATATCAATTAAGAAGCTATATAGCATTATATTAACAATAATCAAAAAATCTTTAATTTTGTTTACAAGTTTTATTTATCTATTCTAAAAACCTTTTGCGTTAAAATTCTTATAAATAAACTTTCTGTTCTTCATATCTTTTACAAACATAATTCTTCTTATTTATTTACTTGTTACTAATATAACTAAACTAGTTTTTTATTTTACTAGACTATCTGCCTTTTAACTTAAACAATTTATTACTTAATCTCTAATTTTTTTAACAGTATTTTAAATACAACAGATTTTGATATTTTTGTTAATCTTGTTTCTAATTTGTATAAAGAAATACTTACTTTTAACAGTTTTAAACTGCACAACTTCTTATATATACTTTCTCTTATCTCTACTTTATCTGGTCTAGTTCTTACTAACTTTATTTTTAATATTTACAATACTTCTACTTTTTATTATACTGCTATTTCTCTTTTTATTAAGCTACTTTTTTACTTAAACTAACAAATATATAAACAAATATAAGTTTTATATTGTATTTTATGCTTTGCATAGTCTCAAACTATATCTTTTACTAACTTACCTCATAGTTCTTCTTCTAGTTTACTTTTATTATCTATTTCAATACCACAAATTATTACTAAAATTGATTTTTGAACTATTCAATAAATTAAATATTATATTTCTCTTTCTTATATTATTACTTAAATCCAAATCTAGATAAGCTTTGATTATTCTTGTAGATTTAGATTGCAGATTATATATCTGAGTCTTTATTCTTTATATGTAATTTAAAAGTAAGCTTTTCTTTATAAAAACTTTAATTGAATTTTAATAAAGTTAAAGATATAACCTTACTTTAATATTTAAAAAAAAAAATACAGATTTGATAGACATATATACAGTTATTGGCAAAAGTAATACTTAATTTTTTTATTAAATGAAATTAAAATCAAATACATAATTTTTTTATTTTTACAATATACTATATATATATATATTTTTTTAGCTAATCAATATTTGTAATGCCCTCCTTTTGCTTCTAATATTGCTTCAATCCTTCCTGAAACTGAGTTTACAGAGTCCAAAAAAACAATGTATCTAATTTTGACTATTCTTTTTTTAGAATAATTTTGAGATTATATATTTCTCTTAAAAAGTTTTCCTGAATTTAAATATTATTCTTTAATACTTTTTAAATATTATTGATTAGATTAAGGTTAAGAAATCTTGCAAACCAGTTCAATTTAGAGATTTTTTTGTTTTTAAGCCAATTGGATACTTTATGTATCAGCATATTGTCTTGCTGAAACATTATTTTTGCATCTACTAACAAATGAAATGCTTTAGCTCTTTCATAAAATAATAATAAATAATTCTCCAAAAGTTTAATTTATATTTTTTTATTAATTTTTTCTTTTAGTTATTTATACTTATTAAAAAAAAAACAAGAGAACCCATAATCCTATTAACAAAACAACTTCACATTATTACTGACCATCTATCACTATTAAAACTTAGAATTAAGTATTTATTTTTATGTCTTTTACTTTTGAAATACTATATTCAAATTTAGTGTAATTGTTTATCAAGCTCGACAGATATTTTGTTGAAAAAAATTACATGTTACCAATTATAGGCACTTTTTGATATGTTTTGTTGACATTATTCAAACTATTCCTTTATATTATATTTCTTAAGAAATGGCTTTTTTACTGCTATACAAAATCGAATACTAAAACTTTGCAAAGCTTAAGAAACAGTTCTTAAACTAAACTCAAACTTTAAATCATTGACAAGATTATGCAAAGGTTTGTATTTTTTTTCAAAACTGCTTCTACTAGAGCATTTTTTTTAATTATTGAAAGTATAGAGTCTTCTAAATCTTGACAAATTTGATATATTTTTGGTTTTTTGGTACTTATTGAGAAATCTTCAAATTGTGATAAGATCATATCTTATTTTCTATACAACTTGCTAGGTGCTTATATATTCAATATAAGCTAGGATTTCTTCTTTGTCTTTGTCTGTCATTGAAATACTAATTATGCTTATTATACTTGAAAGGTTTTTTTTTTGTAAATATTTCATAGAAAATCAAAGAAAAAAAAAAAAAAGATTTGTTTCACAAATTGCTATAAGAGAGTAAGCAATACATATTTATTTGTGCATCGATCACAGAATCAAAATTGGGTATTACTTTTGCCAATAACTGTACATATAAAAATTATTCTAGCTAATATTATAATAGTATGATTATTAAATTTTTACTATGATTATTGAAAAACATATAAAGAAAGCAAGAAATAACAGTAATTATATAATTTTGAATAGATAATTAGTAATATAAAAAAAGTGTAAGCAGAGTTTCTGTTTAATATAAGGTACTTTTCTATTCTTTATTATCTCATTTCTTATTTGTAAACAATAAATAATGCTGTTTAATAAGTTTTAATAATATTAGTAAACAATAGTAGGCTCTGTGGCAGTATAAGGGTTTTATGTTTTGGTAATTAGGCTCTGTAACTACAAGACTTGTTAATAAGTAACACCCATATTACTACATAATGTTATACAATCGATTCTTATTATAGCTAAATTAATATAATTCTTGGCTACATCCTCTATACAAAGATAGAACCAGTTAATTTTGATTAGCTTGTGACATCTATTCTTATAGTCATATATATGTAATTCAGCAATTGATTGTAAAGTGTGATCAGTTAGTTGGGAATGAAAATATTCCTTTAGGGATTTAGATACGTATAAGGCACAATTAAAACAATAATAATGTACTATTTAATAAATCAGTGGTTAAATCACTTATTACAAAATCTAAAAAATTTTTACAGTACTTCAGTAATACTGGCCACAAAATCACGTGATGGGTTAAAATAACCCGGATCAAAATAGAAATTCCCTCTTAATTATTGTATGTTTGTAATATTCTAAATCGTGAAACGCAGAAAATCATCGTCCCTGAGTGATTGGCTCAAATAAGGATCTACATCGCGTACAGTATTTATTCTAATCGCGTAAAGTATTATTTCTAATAAACGTAAACATCCAACCTTCGACAAACCACCATGTTATCTGACATCAACGAGCCTGGACCTGGATTTGAATATTTCCTGGACACTTCCTGTCAAGATTGGGACGCGGTTCAGTACCATGAAGCATGGAAAGAGAGCAATTTGGGTTTGGATAAGGCGATTGTAACGAGAAGTTTTAACAAACAAATGCAGAAGATAAAAGAACAAGGTACGGAAGAGGAAAAGAAGAATGCGATACGTCTCGAAAATCAATTCAGGGTCAGTATATTTTCATAAACTATATAACTACAGATTAGTAAGTCACATTCAGTAGCTACCCATGGAACTACGTCTTCGCATGGTTATGGACTACGTCTCCGCTACTACAGCTACCCATGGAACTACGTCTTCGCATGGTTATGGACTACGTCTCCGCTGTTGGCTACAGCTACCCATGGAACTACGTCTTCGCATGGTTATGGACTACGTCTCCGCTATAGCCAGCCTGTGACTGCTAATTTTAGTTTGGATAACCTTGATACGCTAATATATAAACTTAACCAAGCATTGAAGAACAAATCGAAAGTGTGAGTTTAATTTTTGTTAACAAAATAAATTATCGTACAGATGTAACTGACATTTTGTATCTAGCAAAAGTCTTTACAGGCATTAATAATCTCAATGCAAAACCTATAACAAAGAGAAATAGAGATGAAAAGGTACAGATGCATTTTCTTTAGCTAGAGGTCGTGAAGCTAATTGTTTTGTGATTTTGTTCCTTCATTAACTGATCTCGTAATTCTATAGAATTCGGATGATAAAATTAAAAATATAAAAAAACCCTATCTTATGAAGTCAAACCAGAATGATAACTTGATATTGAAATCAGCAGATTCAAAAATAAACCAAAAGCTACCATCTGTTCCGTCTTCTAACATTAATTGAGGGTAATAATGATTTTAGTTTTTTTGACATTTACGAAGGAATATAATGGACTAATTTATACACCACATATGTATGTAGATATCGAGCCAGAATATTACGATGCCAGGAAACGAACAAAAATTATTTATTCGTGGGAAGATGCAATTGACAAGATTGATTTTAGAAATATTTCAAATAAGGATGTAAGTAAATAGTGTGGTTGCACCTACTGTACATTAACTAACTATACTTATGTCTTTTCAGCGGATTTTTGAAAGTTACAATCTTTCCAACGAGTTCCGTAATTTTCAAAAGATTACGATTCAACAGGTCTAGGAAAAACCGCATTTGTGCTACAAAAAAGACATTCAAAAAATCCTGTAAGTATTGAATCCGATCCGAATTATGGATTTGTAATTCTTTTTATTATATTCATTATTCTCGTGATAAAATAGATGTCTATCAAATATAATGTTGATTGAGCGGATAAAACCGACATACTTATCTTGCGATCTGGCGAGTTGGAATATTATTTGTTGAAGGAAAACGTCTTCTTATTTGCCATCGGTAGTTAACAATACAGTTCTAGAATATTCATTGGTAAGATTTAATTTTCTGATTTACAGATTAGATGTTGAATTACAACACTATAGCACTAAACAATATCTATTCTAGTTGTTAAATTCTTTTACGCCACTAGAGGAAATGGAAGACAGATGGTGCAAAAATTTCTCCAGAGTTACAGAACTGAATAAAGAGGATAGAGCTAATTTTTGCAAATGTCAAATCATATTACGAAACTTGTAGGTGTTACATTTGTCGTTATAAATAATTTGATGCTAATATCTTTTACAGCTTTTTATTAGGCTCAATTAATAAAGATAACGAAGATACCTTTGTTCACAGCATTTTACATAACTTGATCAATGAGATTTTTCATGACCCAATGTTAGAATTAGTATGGTATGTTTGTAATTGCATGGATATAATTTTCATTTATATGAGTATTTTCTGTATATTTGTGTTAAAAGGGCAAATAGTGAGAGCTTTGTTTCAAAAAGTCAATGTCTTAACAATAAGGAAAATGCTCCTGTTAAAGGTAATAAGTCCGATTTTAAAATTTTAACCAATACTAAAGATGAAGTTCTCTTCGGAGAAGTTAAACCAAGAGACTCGACTTCTGTATTGGTCAAAAAGGATCTAGTCAAACTTGCTGAGTTTCAGGCAGGTACCTTGGATGAATTAACCAAAAAATATGGCAATAGAATCGGGATGATTTCTTTTGGTATATGGATATGTGGTAAGTATGCACAATTTGGAATGACTTTTTGGTGCATTTATAAACATTTGATTACATTCATAGGTGAGCATATTCGCATCTACGATATGGACCTTAATTATGACGGAATATATAGGATGATCTTGGTTGCAGATGTATGTGTCCCAATTGAACGGGAAAAAATTGTAGGCTTTTTGCCAGTTTTGGAAGCGTTTTATAATGTTAAAGTAAGTGGTTAAGACCGTAGCTGTTTACTACATTTGAGGTAAAATCGGCGCCAAACATTTTAACATTCTTTTTTTGTTATTTTAAGCATCGTATTTCCGAACTTTTAACGGTAATTGCCTCTAACACCCCGCCTAGTTCTCCATCACGTTCTTCCTATGGTAGAATGCCTACCTGTTAGGGTTGCAATTACTGGTCTGCAATCAAGTTAATTTTTTGTATATAGTTTCTTATAAAATTATTCTCCATAGCATATTAGAAAATAGATGGCTGTATTTTTTATCAATTATCTTATGTACACATGGTGAAAAAAGATGATTTTAAAAAGGTTCGCCGAAATTTTGAAGAAATGAAACGCGTTTTTGATCAACGTGACAGCACTAAGTATTGGTTTGAATTGGTTTTTTATTATATATTTCATTTTTCGGAACATTTGACGCGGGGCCATCGCCGAAATTTTTCTACTTTAGTCACGCATTTTAAATAAATAAATATATACAATCTATCACTAAAACATGCAATCTGAGATTGATCCATTGAGACAACGAATTTCTGAGCTTGAAACAGAAAAGGCTGAGCTTGAAGCCAAGAATACTAAACTGATAAAACAGGTTACGGAAGAGAATGCCAAGCGAGAAGCTGAAAATACGGAGCTCAAAGCCAGGATCGCCAAATTGGAACAGATAGTAGAAGAAAATACTGAGCTTAAAGATAGAATCACGAAATTGGAACAGAAACAGGAAGCATCTCCTACAAAAGATATTTCACCACTAACCGAGAGCCATTCTCCAGAAATAGAACATAGCTCTACCCAATCTGAAACATCTATAGCTTCTTTACCACAAGATGTTATCCATGACCATGCAGCTGAGATCCTTGATTTTGTAGAAACGATACATAAGGAAAGGATTAGTAGTGAGACAAGAGAGAGGTAGAGTTGGTCACTGAAACCTTTTTGGCCAAATCCGAAAGTTTCGGGTTTCGGATTATAGTTTCCGAAACCTCATCCGAAACCCCATCCGAAACCCGAAACCTTACCCGAAATCCCGAAACCCTATTGGTATAATAAATTTCTATAAAATCAATAACAATA